ACTACCGGGAAGAGTAGAAAACTGTCAGGCCACAAGCCTATGAAGGATAGGCTAAGCTTATGGCTAAGTGGTGACCTCAAGATAAAGCCTCTCTTGGTTTATCTCTGAGACCCCTAAAGTGTTCAGAAAACAAAGTCATGAAGAATAGGCTAGAGGTCATGTGGAGATCTAATATAAAAGTCAGGGTAACTATGGAGTATTTTTTCTTGAGTGGATCAGGGAGGCTTTCTGTCTTACTGTTATCTATAGAAGACAAAGGTTTACCATGCAAGGTTCTCTTCATCATGGATAATGTTCCTGCTCACCTATGAGATTTGAAAGAACTGGCTGAACAATTCACTTGGCTCTCAGTCGAGCTCCTTCCACTAATATACCACTTACTACAGCTTGCGGACCAGCAGAGTATAACTAATTTTAAGAAGCTATATACCAAGGAACTGTTCCTGAAGTGCTTTCAGATGGTCTCAGATACGGAGTTAACCCTTAAAGAGTTCTAGAAGGAACATTAAAACATTCTTTCCTGTTTGGGGCTAACTGAGAAATCCTAGGCCAATGTCTCTCTAAGGACACCAAAATGACCTGGAAAAAGTGTGGCCTATATACGAGAGACTTTGAAGGCTTTGTAGTGGAACCTGAGCCTTCAACTGACCCTGTGATTGGTTGATGACACTGTCACTGTAGCAGAGTTCATAGGCTTGCAGGTAGATAGGGGTGATGTTGAACTGGTGGGAGAGCACTCAGAATTGTGTACAGAGGAACTTTAGTAACTTCTGGCTGAGCAAGAGGGAATGGCAGCTGAAGAGGAGTGGGAATCTTAACAATCAGTGTGCAACAAAGATCTTCTTCTAAAATATAAGAAATCCTGAAAAGAGAAAACTACAAATATCTGTAGAGAAGACCCACCCAGATGAAGAAAATGTCAATTGTTGCATTCACTTGCTTAATGACAATGTCATGTTATACTGTGTTAAAGAAAAGACAAAAGCAGGTAACCTTAGACTAGTTTTAAGTTCTGAAAATGATGAGACCTAGTGAGCCAAGGCAACCTTAGACCAGTTTTAAGTTCTGAAAGTGTTGAGACCTAGTAAAGTAGAAGTAGGTCCTAGCGGACAATAGCCTCTCTCCCAAGGAGAGAAAGGACACTGGAGAGTCAGATTCCTGATACATATGGGGTCTCTTCGCCCAAAAAATAACCACCTTCCATTTCATTTTCCCTTCCTGCAAGCCAAAGATGTCAGTTTGAATGGTGAGTATAGTATGAAACTGTATCTAGTAAAGTAGGCACATTTTATAACTTTTGGCGAATATACTAGGAAAATTATTGGTATTTGTGGTAAATTATACAAATTGTACAACTCTTTTATTATGAAAAGGTTATTTGAGGGGTTCTCTGGTTCTTTGGAATGCTTTATGGGTATTTCCATTATTTCTTATGGGAAAAAGTCTTGACTTATAATCAACTTGAGTTACAACCAGTCCTCATGAACAAAATGAATTTGTAAGTCAAGGGTGTAATTCACAATAATTTTCAGTCACTAACTTAAAATACCAAACCAAATCTTATATATGAAAAGTATGCCTTGTGATTAATAACTGAGCCAAAATAATCAGTTAAAAATTTTAAATATATGTAATGATACTGACAAAATATTCTACGGTGATACATTTGTTTTTCTGGCATAAAAGTCTTGGTAGACACAATCAATTAAACACTTCTACTGGAAAATGAAAGAGATCACTGTCCTCACTGTCATGATGAGATATAAAAAGTAAATGTGTAATTTATATAGTCTTATGTAAAATCCAAACGAAAGCCATGGACATAATGTAACAGCATCATGATCGTGTATTTCTGATCATGTCTAAGATTTGATCTCTCAAGCAAGGGTCTGCTTACCAAAAACAAACAAATATCTACAAACACAAAAACTAACCAAGCAAATTCAAGTCAAAATATTTGAAATTCAGTTCTACTCACTAATTTGGAAGTATCTCTCTAGTCCTGTGCACTCACAGGAGTAACCAGATCAGGCAGGCCATTCCTCCCTCTCTGAGCACATCTATAGATCATCCAAGACTGACTACTCAACACTAGTCTCTCGGATACCTGCTAAGGCCTTTCTGAGCTCTATATTAGGCTTAAATTTCCCTTTTAAGATCACAGAAATGTATTATTCTATTAAATAATTTTCTGGATCTCCACTAATCTTACTTTTATAGAGAAAGATTGTCTAAATTTCAAAGATGAATTCTCCTAAGATGTACATCTAGAATAGTGCCTACCATCCAAACTATTCAAGTATTTGAAGAGATTAATATCAATGGTGAATATACAACTGGAATGTCTATCTGTAGGGATTAATGAAGTGACGTGACAAAAAAGAAGACAATCTATGTTGCTGGTGTATAATTAGATCACAGTTTCACCTGACTGGCCTGCACACGGAACAGCCTTGCAGTAAGATTGACTCCACAGGGCCTGGCAGAAACAGGGTCATGGATAGAGCACCAGCACAACATGCCACACAAGAGGTAAACAACAACAGAGAAATAAATTTGGGATTTGTTAACGGACTGTTTTTCTAGGTTATCATCTGAGCAGAGATATTCCTAGAAATGCTGAATATCAGTGTTTGGGCTAAGTATACCATCACTGCACTGTACGCAGGCTTCAGGAAGATGGTAGGTTTTACATCTTCATGAAAGATAGAAAAATACTATAATTGTTATTCTTACTTTGCCTAAGTAAGCAAACAGTGGGCAAAATGACCAAAGACTAAGACAATTAGTCCTTTAGATAACTAGTCACATCACCAAGGCTCGGGATAATTAGTCACATCATTAATTATCCACTGGACACTGATCATTCTTCTCTGCCTATACTATAAATCATGTGATAATAGTAACGCATGAAAATATCACTAGCTCTAGAGAACAGATACTATAACACAATGACAGGAAGAACAGGGTGAACAGGAAAGCTGCAGCAGAGCTAGGGCTAAAAGGGAGATAACAATCTCAACTGAATGTGTCTGAGAAACAACAAGGGAACAGTGGGAAACATGCAGATGGTCTTGAAGGGCTGAGCTAAGTAGTCTGAGCATCATCTGATGGGTACTAAAGTTTTACTCTAAGTCTCTAAGCAAATAATTGCTCATTTAAATTAATGTAGTAGTGATCAAAGAAATAAGCAGGGGAAAAATACTATCTCTTTTTTTTCCTACGGGGAAAAAACTCTACAAAGTCAGAATCATAGAATTGAAGTCAGATACTCAAGCATAATGACTCTACCTTTTGTTAGGCTGGTAACCTTGGGCAAGTTATTGACCTCTCTGCCACAAGACAAAATATATCATTTGACTGTTTTGAGGAGAAAACAAAAACCAAAACTTGGACCAGTATCTCCTACAAATGCTCCTCAAAGTCAGCTAACTTTCTTCTTAATTTGCTCTAAAATAGAATGAAAAGTTGGAGAATTCAAGGAGTTGGCTAGGAAAGTGAAAGGGAGAAGCCTGTTGATAACCACCTGTTGGAGGAGATGTTGGGGTTGAAACCTAAAGAATACAGGGTACTGATGAAATCAGTAAAACAAAATTTGAAGGTTCTGGTAGATTCTACCTTATTATCTAAAGAGATACAAAGAATAGTATTCATCAACCAAATAGAAGAGTATTTCTTTCAGCTTGCTCTCATGCCTCAGTTGCTGGGGGAGTATGTATGGTTAATAAATCAGCCAGAGGCCACGACATCTTGAGGCTCATCTCAAAAGATGCCTTTCAGGTTGACATAAAGACAGACCACCGTGCTTAGAAGTTACTCAGAGGCCAACTCAGATCTCACCCATTCAACAGAATGGTCTCAGATGCTCTGTGGCTGCTTCTGTCCTCCTACAGGATATAATGGTTTCTCTTGCCGAGTTTCTGCTCCCACCATGGACCAATCAAGCACAAATGCTGAGGGCTGAGAGGCACCCCTAAGTTGCTTCTGGAAACCTGAGGCTACTCCCTAAATCTTGGATTCAGCTTGAAGGATAATTTCACTTTTCTGGAAAACATATGGCAACCTGATATGGCCAGTCAGCGAACAAGAGCACTGACAAACTCCTCTCCATTGTATTCGTAGGGGAATAGTGATCCCTCAGCTGACACTACAACATGCATTGTTACTATTTCCACCAGGCATGTACACACAAGCACAAACATTTTTGAAGAAAGGGCTGGTGTCATGTTTGCTCACACACACAAAAAGTATGCTGCATTTCTATGTTGGACACTAAAAAAAAAAAAAAAAATCCAAGATCAAGGAGGCAAAAGTACAAAATTAACTTAAAGAAAAAAACCTCAAAACTGAAACAGGAACTGAGTCTTTTGTATACTGACATTAAGTTAACAGGAAGATGTTTTAGAAATGAAACATGTATGTTCACATTTATATCTCAGAACAGATGTTATGCATATGTGTGCATGTACAAATAGTATAGCATATGTTCTTTAAGACACCCAGGTGGGGTCCTTGAAAGATACTTTCTCCTTTCTCTTTATTTATCTCCCACATTTTTAGAGGTGTAAGAAGTGCACATATATTTTGAAAACGTGCCAAAAATATAGACCACGCTGCTCACAACAGCAGATAGTTAAAATAATGCTTGTGGACTATTTTAACTATATTTAAAAAACACCAAGATCCTAACATTTTACGTAATCAGAAAAGACAATAACCATTATAAAATGCTTCACACTTCTTGAGCTTCAAAAAACAATGAATATGTAAGTATACTCTGTTCTGCAAAGATTAATTATAATGCCAACTTCAAAAGTAAAACTTTCACTCTATGATTAAAATGACTTTAAAACTTAAAATATATAGTGAGGGCAATATTATACAAATAATTTATTTTTATAAACTAGTCTAGAATTCAGCAAACACATTAAAAATGGACAAACAACATTCCCACATGTTGCAGCTTGCTCTCTCTGTAAAGTCATTATTTTGCCCCTTACCTGATACGGAGACAGCATGTGTTCGGACACCCTGCTTCTCACTGTTGGCCAACCTGGAACAGAGGGGCAAAAGTTGAATGCTGCACTGTCCAGACCAAACCACAAGGCCCCTCAAATATGGAGCTATCATGGATTAGGAGGACAATGCCATTTTCCAGGGAGATTAAATTTTAGGTGAATTTCTTAAAAACTGGATTCTATTACCACTTAACATGGGCAGAATGCTTTGATATTTCAAAGAATAAATTAAAACTGGTAACTGATTGGGTGTGGCTGAGTGGTAGTATTTGCCTCTCATGTACAAAGCCCTAGGTGTGACCCCCAGTAGCACAAGGAACACTGAACCACTGTGGAAGTTACTCATGAGAATGAGTAAAACCACACATACCATATAAAGTGGTATGCATAAATTATACAAGAACTTACATTTAAATGATAGACTGAGAGAGAATGCTCAAAATTATGAGAAATGGGCCATATACTGGGAACTGAGTTTGTTCCCCTAAATCAACTTGAGATGGTAGCATGACTGGTTCTTAAATCTGTAGCATGTAAAAATAAAAAAAAAAAAATCAAGAAGTATATTAACACATACCATTTGCACATGGAAAACGTAATCTTAATGTATCTGGTAATTCATGACATGATTCAAAAACATTAGCTTTCTACATATTCAGCCCCATTAAAGTAACTTTGGCCAAAAATTTTGGTGACATTTTTAAAATGTAAGCATTGTTTAAAAATTTTGGAAACTACAAGGCACAGAGAAAAAACAAGCCCTACTTCGTTAGATGTCATTTATCTTGGTTTTTTGATTAAAAATAACAACAAAAACAAACCTAGATCTCTAAGCATTTACTACAGAAGTACTGAGTGGACACTTTTTCCAGTATGCAGAATTTATACTAGAAAATACTGAAATTTAAAATTCTCTTTGGATAACTAAGAATACTCAACATGAAACTGTCTTTCAACTATATTCATTGGGGAGTAACTCAATTTCCATTTGTAAGTAATTTATACTGTTTGCTTTCTTATTCTGTTGTCAATAATTAGGTCTCCCTAATAATACCAATTCACGCATGCTGCTACCTATAAACTTTCTCATCTTGCTTGTTTTCTATCACTTTTTGATCAACAGCAGTAACAGTGTGCTCCTGCCAGTGATTTGAGGGCATTCTGTTTATACAGTTTTTTTAGTCTGCTACCACATCTAACCTACTAGCTTATTTTTTACCTATATTTTTGACACCCTGCTTTAATCTTCAAAAACCACCCTGAACTTTTAACTGAAGATTATCTAAGTATGCATCAGTTCCTGGGACACTCTTCAATGTCTAATAATAGGGCTGACTTGAATGTGCGAGCTCAAAACTGGGAAAAAGCTGTTGTATTCATTTTTCCCTCATCCACAGGTAGAGTGCACTGACCAGATACAGCTGAGTTCTTGGCCACAGTCATGCTTGTAACTCCACAAAACCCTTGTGATCAGAGAAGTGTCTACACTTCTACTGTCCACTAAAGGTATAGACAATCACATAGGCTGGTTTCAGAAGTGTGCCAAGTACTATGCAGAAGATGTTATAAGAAAAGGCAACTAGGATGCCCCGGACTGGGAGCCAGGTTGCCAGGGGAAGTGACACAGGAAGAGACCTGAAAGATGAGCAAGGCTTAGGCAAGGAAAAGGAGTTAAGAGGCAGATTGTGTCATACAGAGGCAGAACACTGACCATGAACTGCAGGGAAAGATCAGAGGTTTGGTCCAGCCACTGAAAAGTCCAATGGAGTTGAGGAAGAACATGGGATGAGTGCCAAAAAATAAGGCTGAAGGAGTCAGCAAGGAATAATCAGGGAGGAACCTGTAAGCTAACAATGTTGGAACTTGCCCCAAGACTGACAACAAGTCAGGCAAACTTTTATTAGAACAGTCTCTAGAGCTGCAGCATAAAGAAAGGACAGGATGATGGGCAGAACTAGACATGAAGATTCAATAGGAAGAGTGTAGACAAAAGTGTTTAAAGAATGTAGACTGAGATACACAGTGGATCTCAGACTGGCCTGTTTACATAGGTTGTTTGGGATTTTAGGATGATTTCCATCATCAGCTAATTGATTAAGGTGGCTCAGTGTACCGGAACTATTTGTATAAACAATATGATTTGTACCAAGTTCTCAGGAGTCTGGCTGTTATATGCCAGGTAGCGAGTATACATATGATCTGTTCCCCTAAAAACCCTGAGTGCCATGTCCTGATAGGCAATATTTCACATGTGCCACCCCAACTCACAGCTGGGGCTTCAGGGTATACATTCCTAGGGGAGAACCTATGGAAGCTTGCTCCTTACATTCCCTGAACTTTGCCCTTTGTACTATGCCATTTACAATAAATCACAGCTGAAAATACAACTGCCTGCTGAATCCGGTGTATTCATTCAGAAAGCTACTGTGCTAGGGGTGGCCTTGAGGTCCACATCTACTGCAGTAGCCTAGACAGGTAATAGCAACCATTCAAATTGGGTGGTGGTGGTTAGTGGAAAGTCACTAAAGTGGACAGACTTGATACTTTCATTTAGGAAGTGGAACTAGACAACTGGCAATGGACTGGGCAAGGAGGAGAGGGACAGAACAAAGATGAACTCAGGGTCTACTTCTTCCTCCTGGGCCTCTTGTGTTTCTATCCTTCTTGCACATAAACCCACCCCTAGGAGCATTACTACATATATTTATCTATGCACCTGAAAGGCTAGATTTTATATTTCACATTTGGGGGACAGGGATATGGTTCAGCAGCATAAGCACCTGCCTGGCAAGCACAAGGTCCCAAGTTTGATCCCCAATACTGGAGGAAAAAAAAAAGCCCCACAAAAAACCCTCACTTATATTACACATTTGGCTCCCAGTTTCTAGCATACTGGCTGAGAATACAAAAGTAATTATGAAAGTTCTTTAATTTTAGAGACCAATAAACCTATTATGAAAGTGGTACAATAAACAGACATAGTACCACAGACTACATCTCTTTAATTTTCCTACTTGTCAAATAGCCAAGATAGTACCTATTTTCAGGTTCTTGTAAAAATATATGCTAATGATAGAAAAGTGAATGTTTAATACTATGTTATAATCATGACTGTTATTTAGTTCCCTTATTAAACTTAAATAGAAACAAACTTTTTGATTAAGCCTAAGTTCCTAATGTAATTTTAACTGATTTCTTTCTAAAGTAATTGTTTTCTAGATCTCTGATCATATATAAAGTTCACTTTTTCAAGAAAGTACATGATAAACCATAGGACATTCCTTAAGGTTTCTCACAACACCAAATAACAATATGCACAGAATACCACTTACTTGGGAATTGATGGCAAAGCCCGTTCGCCTTCTGCAGAGGGGAGAAAAAAGGAAAGAGAAGTATGAAGGTCCTTTTACTTTTTGAAAAAATTATGCCTAGAAGTCAGAGCAGAAGGAATAGCTTCATCTGGTATTTTGGCAATAATCTTTAAACCAAGTCATTACAATTAATTACACTTAATCTTTGGTTCCCATGGTTTTTTTTCAATACTATAACATAAACCGTGACACATTGTTTACAAGCTATGGGCAAATTACAATAAAGAAAAAGACAAAAGATTTTTTCCCAGTAGACTAAAAGGTGAAGGCAAAGACCTAAACATTCTGTATTTTGATAAAATCATTCACTAATCATAAAGCCTGTGTAGGAATCATGGAGAAACATAAAAGGAAAAAAAAAAAAAAAAACCCTACAGGTGCATAGATGTTGAAGGAATTAAGGCACTGGAGATGCCAGAACACCACAGAGGCCTCCTACTGTTGACCAGAGGAGACCACAGCATAGTCAGCTAGAAAGGATGCCAGGCAGCTATTTAGGAAAAATGTTCAGAGTGGGCTTTCAGTGCTGAGCAGACAGCTTATTCCTTGGGCATAGTGACCAGCTTGTGGTGGATCAATCCCAGAAAAACTCAAGACTTGTTTCCCTGGTTTCTATCCCTTACAGCCGAGCTTTATTTTTCTTAATGTAGTTGATCACCACTTGATACACTATGTATTATTTTGTTTGCTGTCCTTCTGCCTCTTCATATTTCCATGCATTTAGGATTTGACTGTTCTGTGCACTGCTAGATCGCCAATCCTGAGCCTGGAAAGTGGTGGATGTTCAACAATAACCTCATAAAAAGATGTGATGTTCTGCCTACTCTACATCATTCTCATTTTTCATTATTCCTGGATGCTATCCTGCTGCACGCCATATACTTCCCTCAAAGCACAAGGCAAGCCTGGAAAGATACTCTGCCTACTAGTCCTCTGAAGCTCAACTGGAACACCATTTTCCAACAGTGGTGTGCTCCGCTTGGTCCTCCTAGTTTCTGTAGCAAACAATTCACCACACTGCACACATGTGCAGAGACTGCTTGCCCTGTCCAGAATTATCCCTAATATCTCACAAAGTACCTGGCAGGAATTCAAGACATCAATCAGTTTTCCTGAAAAACTGTTCACTTGCTTATAAAACAGGTAACATTACCTAATTTGTAGGGACTTCTGTGAGGCCTAGAGAATACTGTGTATACACCACAGATACCCAATATGCTTCAGATACTCAGTCTGAAGTGTATCACCAGTCAGGTGTGGTGGCACACCATGTAATCTCGGCATTTAAGAAGCTGAAGCAGGAGGAGTGTCATGAGGTTGAGGTCAGCCTGGGATACATTGTGAATTCAAGGCTGGGGTGCACTACATATTGAGACCTTATCTCCCTTCTTCCCCTCCAAAAGAACAAGTCAAACTATCATTTACGATCTTATAGCTATCTAACTTTTTAAAAAAAATTTTATTTATTTATTTATTTGTGTGTGTGTGTGCGTGTGTGTGTGCGTGGCCAGCTCAGCCCACCAGGGGGCGGGGCTGTCTGGCACGTGGTGCTGGGGGATTGAACCGCGGTCCCTGTGCTTTGCTAAGCTTGTTCCAAGTAGGTGCTTTAGACCACTGAGCCATCTCACCAGCCCTTAGCTATCTAACTTTCAAGCAAAATAACCAAGTCATACCATGAAGATCACATTTCTAAAAAATGGAAAAAGCATGATTTTTATTCTATTTTTATGGCACTGAGATTGAAACAGGGCCTTCACAATGAGCTGTACCTCAGGCTTTTTTTAAAAAATATTTGAGACATTATTATGCTAAGTTGCCTAGACTGGCTTTGCATTTGTGATTTTCCTAACTCAGCCTCCAAGAATCCCGCAATGATGTAAGTGTGTATTACTGTATCCAGCTTGGTGATTAGTTCATTATCTCACCAACACTACCACCACCTATCCCTCATCCAATACTATCAATTAATAATATAGCCTTTCAAATGACACATTACTGTAATTTCTTTTGAACCCTGTTGAAATTTCTATTTCCTTTGAGAGAAAAATAAATCAGTTATTTTATTTGTAGGTAACAGTGACTTCCTAAGTAGCTAGTTGGGCACAGACAGAAAGAAGGCTTTAAATAACATGATAACTTTTTTTTTTTTTTTGTGCGGTACTGGGGATTGAACTCAGGACCCTGTGCTTGCCAGGCAAGCGCTTATTCTACTGAGCTACCTCCCCGGGCTCTCAGTGATAACTTTTATAAAGTGAAAAGGTCACAAGATAGAAGAATGACAGTTCTTCCTTACAACTGATTCTGGGAGGCCTACAAATAGGGAGAGCACACTCCTGAACCACCTTCTGTAATAATCCATCAGTTTCCACTGATGGCAAGTATGGAAGTATATTTTCCAACTGGATTACAAAGAGTGGTTATTACCAGTTATCTTTTTACAGAAATTATAAAAGAATCTATCTTTTTCTGTCTACACCTTTGCTATACTATTTCATGCTCCATATTTTCTGAGGGTCATTCTTATAATGGGATGGGCTATCCTGTGCTGTATGAGCTGGAGAGCATCTGAAATAAAAACTTTAATTTTTTATAGTATGTGTCTAAAGTATTTTTCCCTGTGTCATAGCTTTACAACTGTTCCCTTTTTATGAAAAGTATTTTAGTTATATACCTAGACCTATCAGTTTGGCTCTCTCACCTCTGGGTTCTTGTGCTTCACACTACCAACACCTACAGTGTATAGCGCTACTGTTACTGCACAAGAAAAGCGAGGATACAATTATGATCGTTAAACAGCACAACAAATTTTCAAAGTTGCAAAATAGATTCTGAAATTTTTTTTAGGGATGAGTTAGATAATAGAATGCACCTAAACCAAAGTCAAGTACTGACACTGGTATTTGGTTTGTGACTTTCATTATGTTTTCCACCAATGAATATCACCTTTAAGAGTATATTCTAAATCTGAATTATGGCACACTAAAGTGCATGTGGGCACATCCATGGTTCACATACAGAGTTTTACTGTTACAATTGTGTGTACACACACATACACACCCACCCCCACACAATTGTCTGGCATTAAACTAATTTGAAGCAGACAGATGGACATATATAATTGTAATCTGATTTTCTTATATTCAAACTTTAATTTTTTCAATCTGATAAACACATTGTATACATTTATGATATATCATATGATGCTTTAATACAGAAGCAAAATTACTTGAACTAGGGTAAATACATCTACTTCCTTAAACATTTATCCTCTTTTTTCTTCTTCTGTATTTAGGACAGAGTCTACGGGGTCTCACTACGTAGATCACACTTGTAGTGATTCTCCTGTTTTCAGCCTCCCACACGCTGGGATTATAGGCACATGCCACCACGTTCAGTCTCAATCCTGTCTCAGCATGCCCTGGGGGTGGGGCTGGCATGGCACACTGGGGATTGAACCCCAGCTGCTGTGCTCTGCCTAAGCAGGCACTCTAGTCTGTTGAGCTATTTGGATGGTGCACCAAAGTATTATCTTTCTGTGAAAGAATTCTCCCCAACATTTAAATATCATTTGTACAGAAGCAAGTCAAACGCATGAGCTACAAAGGCCTTAATAGAGAATAGCTTCAGATAGTTCTCAAAGTAAGTTTATTACTACATATAGAAAAAACTGCCACAAATCAGTTACAAAACAAAACACAAAAAAAGTTAATAGCGATATCTTCAGGGGAAAAACACTTCTAGGTGTGCCTTATTATGGTATCCTGCACATGTTTACTTCCTACATGTGTTGGTTTATGGCTTTAAATCTTGTTTTCAGAACATGACATTACTACTACCCTTTAAATAAAAGGTCCCATGACTCCCAAGTTTAAAATGCATACATTCAGCCCCATGCCTGAATTCCCAGCACTCAGGAGGATGAGGCAGGAGGATTGCTGAGCTGAGACCTGTCTGGGTTACATAAAGCTCTTAAGTCCAGCCTGAACTACATAGCGAAACCTTGTCTCAAAAACAAACACACAAGGCACACACCCTATTTCATATCCCCAACATAAATCTAGAGTGGCTCTGTAGTCAGAGGACTTTTCTACCAGGCAGGCTGGGCTCTGCACTGCAGACTAGGCATCTAGCCTTTGCCATCTGCTTCACCTGTAGGTCTTTCTGCCTATTTTTCTAGCTCAATACTTCCTATATGGACACAGAACACGCAGGGCTTCAGGAGTCCTTACAATCATCTCAACTGATGAGGTGAGTGCTAGAAGGAGCCTTGTCATTAAGGCCAGATTGTATGTCCACAGTCCTCATCTGCCACAGTATAGTAGGCTACTCTATGGACCCTATTTGGGACATCCCCAACAACCCCACATAAGAGGAATCATCCTTCTTTTAAAAAGGAGGAATCTAAGAGTTAGGTCAGTACTGTGTATCAATATCACACTGACTAGAAGAGCAAGAGGAATGGCAATATAATTGAACTTACGAACCCTGGACATGTCAGGCACTTTCAAATATTTCTTAGACATGAAATCATTCTACTAGTACTGCAGAAGACAGCTGTTAATTCTTGCTCCATAGAAAGAAAACTGTGGCATAGAAAGGCAGGCACAAATGGAAAGCACTCAGTGGACTCACCACGTGAACCTGCAAGCTGACACAACCCCTAAACCTAGGCTCTTTCTGTTTTGTGCTATGGTAGGGTCCCACTGCAAATGTTTTCACCTGATTATTTTGTAACTCCAAATCCTCTGAAACATCTCTTACTCTATGATTGCAAAAAAACCTTGCCTTATTTCTAAAGTGACAGTGTTGGTTTTAGGACATTTCTTCATTCTAATCTCTGATTTTAAATAATTTAGAATGTATTTTATTCTTTATTTTAAGCTTTTGAGACATCAGGAAAGGTTAACATTAACATTAGTGGTCATTTACAAAAAACTCTCAGAAAATAACGTCAAAAATTTATTTAAAAATACTAATTGTACCTTAGAAAATCTAAGTCTGTGGCACTACAAGTGCAGACATTGTTGTCTTGACACTCCACTCCAACCCAGCTCTTGGCCTGTAGGAGTGTGAACTGGCTAACTAGCCCTAGAAATAAGTGTCCAGGTTATATGGGGCCAAATTATTCAGCTGGTCTTCATATTTACAGTGCTGCTGAAATCAAAAGCAGGCTGCTGAGGCTATGCTCCTCTAACCATCCAGGAGAAAGAAACAGACATGACACGGCAGAAATGGCACACACAGAACCTCACCTTTCTGGGGTCTGATGATAAAGGACTGTGTGGCTCCATTCACCAGTCGACAGTATCCGTCTATCAGGTCAGCCATGTTCTCCGCTATGGTTAGGGACGGTGCCGTCACTGTCAGAGGCTAAATGAGGGAAAAGACCAAGAAAGAGACATTATTGTTCTTCCCAGCAATCAAAGGGACAGCTGTGCTATGACATCAGATCTCTACACACACTTGAAAACACAGAGGAACGGGAGTGAAACCAGATTTGTCAGAAGATGAGTAAAAAGAAGTTTGATATAAGGACATTATTCCTAAAATATGTGACAGAAGACAAGAAGAAAAGATAAAAACATCAGTAAACTAATGGTCACTTTTTAGAAAAAGAGGAGGAAAACATATTTTGCTTCAAAATATCCAGTGCCTCTAGCACACTGTAACAAAGGGACTTAAAATAATCGTAAACACTCACTGTTCTAATGAGATTAATGTGAAGTAAACACAACCATTACAATTTTTTTCTTTTTACAATTTTTCTAACATTAAAGGAAATTAGTAAAATTTCATTATTTTACAGGTTCTGTCCAAAGGATTAAAAATCATTCTTTTCAATAGAAAAATGGCCTATTTCACAAACTGGCTAAAAACCTATCTGTAAGTGTTACCCAGAAGACAATAAAATCTTTTTATTTTCAAGCACAATTATATCCTAGTTCTAATCCCCTCCTGTATGAACAGTTCTCAGATGCCTGACCCTACATGTTATATGGCATGCTGTACGGTAGAATGAGCACAGCTTGAAAATGATGGTGCAATTTTGTCAATGAGACTCTTGCAAGCAATTTTAATGTGCAAATTTTCAGTATAATACAGTAACATTTCTTTGAGGAGCAACAGACTTCCTGGAGCCTTAGATGTTACCAAATTATCAGAATCAGGGCAGAACACTGATGAAGCACTCCTTAGTGAGGAACAGCAGGGAACAGACGAATCCCAAACAATGTGCTTCACATAAACAAAACCATGTACCACTGAATGGTTTATATTCTCACGTAAATGTACTGCTTATCTTTCAGATACAATCACAATATGCAGTATTTGGCAAAGCATCATTTCCTGTAACATTTTTTACTTTTAACATGCTGCTGTAGGGTGATTAAGAGAACAGGTAATAGAACCAGACTGTTGGGAGCACGAATCAAGCTCTATCAAGTACTATGGTGATGGCTAACCTCTGCTTCAACTTCCTCATCTATGAAATGGTAACCAAAGTACTACAATATATCAATGTACCTACTCTGCTTCAGTGTGAAATATTAAGTGCCCCATAAATCTCACCTATGACTATTATTATTATTATTATTTTAGGATAAGGGTCTACAGGGTGTTCAGGGTCTCATTACTAGATTGGACCTATAGTGATCTGCCTATTTACAGCTTCCCAAGAGCTGGGATTGCAGGCACACACCACCTTGCTCAGTCTCAAATGCTGTCTCGGGGTGCCCTGGGGGAGGGGCCGGCACGGTAGGCCTGGGGATTAAACTCCTGGCCCCTGTGTCTGTTTGCAGGCGCTTTAATATGCTGAGCTATTTGTCCGGCCCTAAGATTATTATTGTCTAGAGTACTACAAGCAACATAGTATGAGCCATACATTTTTCATGTTAATTCTAAAAAGTTGATTTTCTCAATAATTCATGATAATCTTTAATTGTCCCCACAAGAATGTTCTTGCTTTTAAAAATCTCTTTTCTTATTTTGGGGAATATTTAAGTATTTGTAATGTAACTTTCCATATAATGTACAATAAAGCTGTGATTCTAGTGATAGAAAACTTCACCTTTATCCTAAAAATAAAAGTTTCTAAAACAGTACCATGCTTTAGTCTTCCTTTCATGAAGCACTCATCATGAAAAACTCCCCTACCTCAGGTGCACCTGCTATTTTGAGCTGCAGCATTCCTTTTCTGTCCTTGTCTTCACTGTTCGAATACTGAATGGTCTGCACTTGGTTGAAGTCGGCCAGATGTGTGGGCTTTGGAAAGGAAAGGTAAGATGCTTAGATCATGGATAAATGAGTCATTTCACTAATATCATTACTGTTTTTGTGCAACTCTCTCAGTCCCAACATTTATTTCACTCTGAATTCACTCCCTAAAGCCTAGAGGTCAGGGTAAAAACTGATTCTCCATGTAACCTGCACTGGAGCTACTGTCTCATCACTTCCAGGGTCAGGATGTGTCTATTTTTTGTGATGTTCTGAGAAGAGTCACACAACTGATCTGGGTGAGGGAAAGCACAGTTCCAAGACACACATACTGAGAAAGACAGAGAGAAAGAGAAGAGGGGAGGGGAAAGGAGGGGAGGAAGGACAGAAGACAGAAGAAACAAGGGAAGAGAAGGAAGGGGAAGGACAAGGACAGAGACAAAGACAGGGAGGGAGGGGCAGGGGGGTAGAAGGAACCCCTTTTCTGACTTACTTGCCTGTGTGGGAGGGGCCTTATGGAATTCTCAGTTGGAATGAACATGTGCTCTTATTTTTACAAACAACGCAGCAAGAAAGCAAAAGTTTCTGAATGTATTAAAGTTCATCAGTGCAACGGAGAAAAGGTGATAGCAGTTACCCAAAGGATATGCCCCACATGTTGGACTCTTAGGACATGTCAGGGGAGACAAAGGTTATTTTTCCCACCAAAATAAATTATTTTTTTTCTTCCTCCATCCCTTCTTTTCCCCATCCTTTAACAGTTTCTTGTTACATGTTTTGGACTTGCCTTGAACTCACTATGTAACACCAGTCTGGCCTCAAGCTTGCTGTGATCCTCTGGCCTCAGCTTCCAGAGTGCTGGGATATTAGGCATGTGCCAACATGACCAGCTTCCACAGTTTTATTTTTAAAAAGATACAAAAGTGTCTTCTATCATTTCATGATCATGATCACTTTGTATGAAATTCCCATATGTTTCTTCACAAGAACTAGCTTGATCAGGTCTGCTTTCTTAGCATATCATAAAGTACTGGCATTTCTCATCCCATAAGGGCCACTAGGACTGAGCTGGATCTGCCCTGCACAAGAGGGCTCAGGCTCAGTGACCTTTCCTCACAAAAAACCTTTTCTAAAAGACACATAGGTGGATAATATACTCTGTAATTTTGATTTCAGGATAGCAAAAGATACATTAACACATCCATTATAAAGAGAGAGTTGAGACAGTCTGATGTGGACTACCTAATCTAAACTGGACACCCAAACACTCTCTCACACCAGCCTACTGTAATTTTTTATCACAATAAGCTTAATTTTTAAACATATTCTCACACCAGAATGAGGGTCCCACAGCAAACCAAGCAGTAATTAACATCTTACACTACTATGTGTAGCTCTGTAAAGACTTTAAATGATGCAACTCTGTGGCAATAATTTGAAGATGAAGAAAATATATTAAGAAAATGTAAATAACCAAAATTGACAAGTACTTGAAAACTGAACCAATCAGCTGCTACAGAATAAAGATAGTTAAAGATATATCACTGCAAAATGCACCCTATCAGAACTCAACTTTTTTTTTCTAATAAGTATTTATTTAGTACAGGGTCTCACAATACAGATCTGACTCCTAGTGATCCTCCTGTTTTCAGCATCTCAAGCACCATGATTACAGGTGCATGGCTCCATGCCTCGTCTCAATCTCCATCTCAGTGTGCCCTGGGGACAGGGCCAGCATGGCACACAGTGAATCAAACCCCGGTCCCTGCATCTGCCTAAGTAGTTACTTTAATCTGCTAAGCTATCTTGCTGGCCCTCAACTAACTGTTAAAGAACATGCAATTATAAGCCAACATAAAATGTCAGACCATTAAAAATTAGGAAAGACTCTGAATTTACCTGATGAAATTTGTGTAACTTTAATGCTATGTTCTTACTGATTTAATATAAAAATGAAAAAATCTAACTTCACCAATAGTTACAAATTTATACAAATTCATAAATAAACCAATATTTTTAGGAACAATGTAGGACTAAGTTATTCAGTGAAAATTAACTATTAAAAAATAAATGGGATGGAGGAAAATCTGAATCACATTCACATAAGCTAAAAAAACTTTTGATCACACTTAGGAGCTTTTACTAACACAATCTAAGGAAAAAGTCAGAAGGCATAACTTTAAAATATTAAAGATATCATTAAGGGCTGGCGAGATAGCTCAGTGGACTAAGCGCTGGCTTTGGCAAGTGCAGGGATGAGGGTTCAATCCCTAGTCCCACATAACATGTGTGACTGAGTCCAGGCGTGGTGGTGCAGGCCTGAAACCCCAGTGCTGGGGAGGCTGAAAACAGGAGCATCATTAGGAGTCTGAGCTGCCCAGTGAGACCCCATACCAAATAAATAAACAGAAAAAAAAAAAGAGAAGGTATCATGAAAAATTAACAAGAAAATTTCCTAGATAAGCACCCTTTCTATAGTGAGGACAGAACCCAGAACTTTGCACATGCTAGACAATTGCTCTATACCAGTGCTGCAACCCAGCCCTAACTGCTAAATTAGGACCTGAAACAAAATAGGAATATCTTCACCTATCACTGTTGTGAAACCTGATCTATAAGGTTCTTATTGATAGAAGGAAAAAAATATACTATGAAAAAGTTAAAATAATTTTCATTTTTGCTGGTTACATACCTTTATAATCCAAGCTCCTAAAACAAAAAGACCTATAAAATGGAATGTTGGGGTCAAATACATTATGCTATGCTTAATATATAAATTTTGAACTGGAAAATGCCAAAACATCTATTCAAAATAAGGCCAAGAACTGTAAAATACTTACAAATTAGTTTAATACAAAAGAATTACATGAAAAAGACTGGAATTTTATTGAAGGATGAAAAGTAAGTACTGAACAAACATACTGTATTCTTAGCTAACATAATGTTCAAAAGTGTCTACTTTTATAAAATTAATTTATAAGCTAGAATTTCAAGACGGTTTCCAGTTAATTTCATAATGTGGTTTTGGAAGATTAACTTAATGATCAAAAAATATTCAGGGAAAAATTTTTTTTTAAAAGTATGATATACAAAAAGGAAAATAGAGGGGCAAAGCAATCAAATGGACCCTGGGGTCAGTGAGACAGATTGAACAAGCCAAGAGCAGATTATGAAAGTGCTGACTTAATCCAGAGGTAAAGAATCAAAATACTTAATTAAAAATAACTATTAACTCCAAGTGCAACACAATCATAATAGCTAGTAATTTCTAAGTACTTAACTAGACTATGACTTAAGTACTTCAATGTAGTAGTATGTTAATCCCCTCACCAACTCTCTTAAGAGAGTTGTGATTACTGTAGACATTTAATTGATGAGGAAACATAAATACACAGTGTGAGAGAATGTACCCAAGTCACAAAGCCAGCTGGTAAACACCAAGATGGCAGTCATCTTGTATACTTCAGTCTGGGCTTAACCCTAGTAAACCCTATCTTTAATCTCCCTTAGACAAAGTAGGGGGATGCCTGTTAGGTACCCATTTACAAAATTTCAGATAAAAAGGAAAAATCTTACAAGTAAATATCAAGAGACCAGAAATTGGATCTAAGACATGCATAAATAATTAAAGAAAAGTTGGAGATGGTCATGTTTTTCTCAAGAGGGTGCACTATTTCACATTGATGGAGGTTGAGATTCTGGTTGCTCCACATTTTTAATTTTTATTCATTTTAATGAGAAAAAAAGATAAAAGAGCGATTCAACAGTTACAAAACAGGTTAGGAAGACATTTACAATAATCAATACATTGTATATTGTTGTCTTCATAGTAGTTATTCAGAGGACAAGATGCAGACATGATAACTTGTCTAAACGATGTTAGTACAAACTTGTTCTCAGTGAACTAAGAGAAAATAGCTGTATATCTATCCTGTCTTGTGTATAATATATATATATATATATATATATTGTGTATAATATATATATATATATTATATTTTTTAAAATTTTCCCCACAACAAAACTGTCTTTTATTTACAGTTTTGTGAAGTTAGTAACGCATGACACTAGGTTACTTAGCAACCAACAGCAAACCATAACCAGACAGGATGTTCATCTTAGGAGTGAGCTAATTTGTGTTAGGCAATGAGTCAAGTCCCACCTACATATATTTGATCCACATTCTTGCCAATACTTGTTACTATATGTCTCTTTCCTTCTCATCATTGGAAGTAACAGTGATGGCACATTTTATTCTTCTGATGACATTGTTTTATTTATTATCTGGGATATCTCCTACTGAGTTGCCTCTTTTTTCTTAATGATTTTCTAATCATTCTTTATCCTAGATCAAGAGGATTTCATTTTGTGAAATATAATTGTAAACACCTGGCTTTCTTTTCTCCTATCTTTTGATGAAACAAAATTCTTAATTTCAATTGTCCAATTTACTAAAGTTTTAATTTAGAAGTAGTATTTCATATGTCCTTTTTTAGGGAATCTCTGCCTATGCCAAAGTTATAAAAATATTCTTTATTTTTTTCCAAACTGTTACTGTTCACATGTACATCAATTTTTGTTATACTAAGTGATAAGAGTCAAAACCAACTTTGCTTAGAATAATTCATATCTATTAAAGTAGAAAAATTAAGAGCTATTAAAAGTAGTTATCTAGTAAGTACAAAAACAGAACTCTCCTACAATCGTCGTGCTGGTATGAAGTTTCTCAGCCTTTGTGAAAAGCATCTAAAGTGTATCCTACAGTTTTATCTCTAGAATTGTTTTCAATTGGGAGAAAAAGCAATAATGTCTAAATGTCTTTCTAAAAGAATACTGTCTTGAAGCAGAAATCTAAACAAACATTAAATGACCTCCATGCAACCTCATCTGGCAAGCAGAGAGGGGGAAGGGACATTGTCTGGTGCGCTGGAGGGGGCTCCTACCAGGTTCACAGAGTGAGATGAACAAGAAATGAGACAAGTACCTGAGGATGACACTTTCTGAACAAGACAAGACTATCATAGAAGAAAAGTTACTCAGTCATGTACATGTGTACACAGGGGGTCAGGGAAGGTTGAAGAGAGAGGTATGATGGGGAAGAAAAAGCTAAGCAGAATAGCAATAAACACTATGTAGTAAAGATACTTGGCTACATTTATGTAAAACTGTATATAGGTAAATGTATGAAAGTTTAAACCACAAAATTCTGTCAGTGGAAAAGCACATTTGAAGCCCTCGGAATTCTGATTCCTGACCAATTTCCAAATGGGAGCATGCTATTCTCAGCACACCACTCCTTATGTAAACTGCTGCTGTTCACCTCCACACTCATCATCACATGTATCCGCTATGTATTATGTATCTCAGCTGTGAGATATGTTTAAAAGAAGATCCTCTCAGCTTTGCTCTTTGCTATACTGCAGATTTCTAGAGTAGGCGACAAATAGGTGCTCAGTAATACCAGCTGCAAGGACAAAAACAAAGAGGACACACTCAAAAATGGCTAGACTTTCTGAGAAAGAACTCTTTAAAAGGTGGAAGGCTGGACTGGCAGAGGGGACACAGTGTGGATTTCCCTCTGATGTGTATATATCCTCAGTAAGATGAGTAAGAATAGTAGGAATCTGTAAATGTATGGAAATTTTTTTTTTCCTGGAATACAGGAAAGAAGTTGTTTCAAAGCGTAGGAAGCCAGTATAAATAATTATATATAGAACTTAAAAAAAAAATTGTACTTAGGACTAGGGATGTCGCTCAGTGGTAGAGTGCCTGCATACCATGCAGGCAGTCCTGGGATCAATTCTCAAGACTATAAAAAGAAACATTTAAAAAAATTATTGTTTAAAACTTTCCTGATAAATTGGAAAAGCCCACCCACATATTACTAATATGCATACCATTTGTGTGACATACTACCAAAAACTATAGAACTATGAAGAATCTTAGTAAGGATATAGGATTTGCCTTGTCTTCCTTCCCTTGAGCAATGCCCCACACAATGGAGAAGCTTAACTGCAGGATGATGTCTTTCCAGAGGAGTGTCCCAATTCCTTAGTCTGACTCCTCTTTGTCTACAGTCAAGTTTGTGAGCCATCATAATGCACTTACATTGCATCCTTTGTCTGTCAGGTAACTGATCCCTTCTTCTGGGCCGATAGCCAGTTCCACTGAAATAATCCAGCTTGACTTTAGAAGGTCAAATAGGCAAGTACAGATGGGCCATGAGGAAAAAGAAAGATCTGAGATTATGAATCAGAGATATATTAAAGGATAAATGGGGATGAGTGGGTGGGAGCTAGGTGGATTTGCTATTTATCTACCAAATAAGATATCTGTAACTTCATTGACCAACAATCTGTTGAACTTAAGACAGTAATACAGTGTGGTCATTCTAGTATGCTAGAGGCTAATGTTTTCTCTAGGAAGATTATCTAAATAGGCAAACTAGTCCTTAGAGAACAATTAACAAATGGCAGGCCAGAGTAAAACTACTTATGAAAAAAGGCATGCTATTAAAAACCGATTTTATTCTAATGCACTTCCTTTATTAAAAAAATATATTTACTACAGGGTCTCACTACACAGATCGGACTCGTAGTGATCCTCCTGTTTTCAGCCTCCCAAGTACTGGGATTATAGGCATGCTCCACCATGCCTAATCTCAATCGCTGTCTCAATGCACTCCAGGGGAAGGGCCGGCATAGCAAGCCTGGGATCAAACCCTGGTCCCTGTGTCTGCCTAGGCAGGCACTTTATTCTGCTGAGCTATCTGGCTGGCCCTCTAATGCACTTTCTTATTACACTTTTTCCACTATAAAATGCACAGTAGTATTATCATGTTAACAATGTTTCAAATTAGTTTTCTTTTAATCAGAAATTCTGATACACACAGAGAAGAAAAAGCAGAAGAAAGCCAACTAGTCCATTGTCTCCCTGTTTCCATACTTACCCCAAGGGCACATTTGAAGCATTCTTTGTCAAATCTGTATACTGGAGAGAGGATTTCAAAGAATTTCAGAATACTTTCTTCTCTATTAAGGTTGGCAAACTGTCTAAATGTTTGTTGGATCAGTTTTCTTAGTGTTTTAGCCTGCACGATAAAATTACAAAAACAATAAATACTTTTGCATCAGCAAAGTGTAGAATTTACATAAGAATACTGCCATACCTATTACTACTTCTTCCTCACTATAAAATCAGACTTAGTAAATAATTTGGCATTTTTTAATAACTATGGTAAAATTAAAAAAAAACTTGTTATCTTAACCACTGTAAGTATAAAGTTCATTGGTTTGGGTTATATTTCTTGAACAGAAACTTGAGGGAATGATCTCGTATTAGAACATGTGGCACCAAGTCAGACATTAAAACATGTGCCATAAATGCACATGACTATAGATGGCAGGATGAAGGCACGCAGGTAACACATTCCACTGTTAAGAGGAAAAATCAGTATGTCTTTCTGAAGCGCAGCACAAATCATCAACTTTTGAAACCCTACTCTTTGATCCACCTAGTAAAATTCGGGAATTTTTTTTTTGAGACTCTGTGTAGTTCAGGATGTCTCTACGTAGTTCAAGCTGGCCAGAAACACACTATGTAGTCCAGGTTGGCTTCAAGTTCACAGTGATCCTCCTCAGTCTTCCAAGTGTTGGGATTACAGGCACATGCCAAAATAAGCCTGTTCTAGGGTGTTACTCTTTAGCAATGATTGAAGGAAAAAGATTAAGAAAGGAATTCACTACAGAACTACATGGGTTAGATAAATTATAGTGTAACACCCTACCCAGTCAATATTTAATGCAACCCCAAAACTGCTTTGTGGAACTCATTTATTGACATTAAAACAATACCATATTGTTACACAGAAAGGAGACAAAGCAGTCTTCCTGTGAAAGAGATTCCTTTAGAAGAAAACATAGGGTTGAACCTTATATTAGACAGGTGGGCCTGAATATACACACAGGAAGTAGAGCTATATTGTTTGTTTGGGTTGTTTTTCTTTAAACCTTCAATAAATGATTAGTGACCCCTAGTGTTGTATGCTTCATTTGCATTTTCCTTTTTTACATATGAACACCTTTCCAGAGAAGCAAGTATTTCCCAGGCCACAGGCCTCCAGTGCTTGGTGAGTGAGGCAGCTGTGAAGAGCAGTGGGTAATGTTTATATGAAGTCTGAGAAGAGGGTGAGAGATATGGGCCAGTAAAACAGTAAGCCAAAATAATTCTCTTTTGTTGTAATTTTCAGATGTTTTGTCACAATTGACCAAAAAAAAAAAAAAAAAAACCAGTTTTTTTTTTTTAAATTTATTTTATTTATCTGTGTGTGTGTGTGTGTGTGTGTGTGTGTGTGTGTGTGTGTGGCCAGCTCAGCCCACCAGGGGGCGGGGCTGGCTGGCATGTGGTGCTGGGAATTGAACCGTGGTCCCTGTGCTTTGCTAAGCTTGTTCTAAGTAGGTGCTTTAGACCACTGAGCCATCTCACCAGCCCCAAAACCAGGTTTTAACACTAATATTTAGGCTGATAAACTGCAGAAGAGGAGATTAAGTAGGAGCCCAACCAAACAATACAGGCACAAAGTGACAGTGAGCCCAAGCACAGAAGCAAAAAGGATGAGAAAAGGAGTCAGATTCTGACTGCATTTTGGAAACAGAAACAAGAGGTGCTAATAGGTAAGAACTGGCATTGAACAGACATGACAAAATCTATAGGAGGTGCAGGTTAACAGATGAAAATACCAGGAGTAAAGTATCAGAAGGATGTCAGAAATGCAGAAGTGACTGGCCAAGCAGGCTACTGGAGTTCAGAAAGGAAGCCTTTGTTGGATCAGCAGACAGAGAATCAAGGCTGGGAGACTAGAACACCAGGGTCAGGGAGAAGACAGACTAGGTGCTTGATTTATCTCAGTGGGTTGGGGAAACGAGGTACAGCCAGTGCCCAGGTAGAGCTACGGTGCTGAGGCAGGTACAGGTAAACCAAGAGGGCATGGCTTACTCTGAGTCATGGAGGTGACAAACTGTCTAGAATGGTTGAAGGAGCCCAGCAGAGTCAAAGGATTTTGAATCTGGGACCCCACAGTGTGATCTGAGAAAATAAGAGGTGTGTTCAGAGAGTGACACACACAATTTAGCACTGTAGGTACTAAAATGAGTGAGAGGCCTAAAGTGAGAGGCTGAGGCAGAGGAAAGGGTAAGACTCCTGAACACAAATGTACATGAGTTGGATTTGTGTTTTAAGAGTTTGCTCTGCTCTTGCATATAGAGGGCTGGGGAAGTGTGCACAAATGAAAGAAGAAAGATCTATCAGGATTTGATAAAGACCAAGCAGGAAAGAGTGGTATGAAGGAGAGAAATGAGCACCCTGAGGTCGGTCACCACTTGCAGGAAATGGGACAGTGAGAAATTCAGTGTGACTAGGTATCTGAGTGGAGCACATAGGTAAACAGAAAGGGTAGGCCTACTAAAGAAAACACAGTCATGTTAATTTTGGACACACTTGTGATCCTGAAGCCTTCCAACTTAAACCGTCAAACAGACAGGGTGGATATGTTTGGAGCTGAGAAGAGAGCACGGCTAGTGACAGAAATCTTAGTCATGAACTGAGGTATTCAGACACAGTACCTACAAATCAAGAGTAGGAAAGAGGAGAGGGCAACAGTTGGTTTAACCATTGCTGGGGTAAGGCAAAGAGTAAAATGAAAGAATTCTGGCTCTTTTAAGAAGAGTTAGTAACAGCTTTAGATCACAGATTACTTTAGATCACTCTGAATATGCTTTTTTAGGTAATACCTTTGTGAGTGAAAAGACTGTAAATTATCTCATTTCCTCTATGAAAACAAGGTAGCTCACGGCCAAAACTCAACTTCATGCTCACAAATAAGTAAATGTATGACTCTACCATAATAAATTGGGTTCTAGTGACCTCAAGACAAAATGGATGAATAAAATTTGGTTCCATCATGTACATGAAAAATTCAATTCCCAGCACGCAAGTGGGAAGATAGTTCAGTCTTTTTGACATCCTGTCATATAGAAAACATGCTGTTTCAATGTGCTGATGACATTTGGAGAGTTAAGAAATGCCTCCACCAGCTAGTATAAAATTAGTCCTGGACACATGACCACACTTTCCTGAAATAGGGGAAACAATGGATTAATAGCTGCGGAGTGGAGGTCAAAAGAGCACAGGGACCAGCACACAATGGCACATCACTTTTACTAACATAAATAGATAACGTTCATTACTGACATTAAGGAACACTTAACTCAGCTAAGTACAGGCATGCAGAGATTAAAACTATACAAACCAGTCAATTTTTTGCTTTGTATCTAATCCCTAATCAGCTGCTTGTTTAGAACTATTGTCAGTAACATCATATTTTCCTATCTAACCACACATTCAACGGCTTTAAAAATTAACTACCTAAGGGCCGGCCAAATAGCTCATGGATTAAAGCACCTACGAGCAGGCACAGGGGCTGGGGTTTGATACCTGGGCCTGCTGTGCCAACCCCCGCCCCCGGGGCGAGCTAAGATGGCGACTGAGACTGGATGTGGTGGCACACGCCTATAATCCCAGCCAATCTAGTAGTGAGACCCTGAACACCCTGTAGACGTTTCCTTACAATATAAAATAAAATAAAAAAATAAAAAAAAATTAACTATCTAAATATATTACCTTATGAAGTAGGAACAGAAGTTCAAAAAGCTGAATCCCCTAGGCTTCCAGTTTACTTCTCTCCTTGGCCACCTAACAGTTCTACATAGATTTCCCAGACATTTAAAATCTAACATGTCACTAAGTGAGCAATGACAGCCCTCCCTGGCCAGGCTGGATGCTCACTCCATCTGACGTGGGGCTCACTCTATCACAATGAGCCCACCCATTCCCCTCACTGTTCCTCCTGACCTCTATGGCCTCAAAGCACTTTAATCTTGGTGTTTATTTGTAGTTGAAATGATGGAACACTGTCATTTCCATCCACTTTAGCTTTAACAGCCTGTCTCTTGACCACCAGCACTGGTGAGCACACAAAGACAGAAAGTAAGGCCACACTGATCAACAGCTGAGTTCTGCTGGACATTATTCCCTTAGGACCCTTCAAATGTAGCTCAAAATGCTCTTCCTCTTGTCTCCTTTTAATCCTACCCCCACTAGGTCTCTTTGCAACCACATCTCCTTTTGACCAAGGCAAACAAATCTAGTTGTGGGCTGTTCTCCTGTAATAGGAACTAATGCCATCAGCCCTGGGCTGAAGTTAGTCCATTTGGTTTGGTGCTTTTCCACATTCAAAACTCTCTTAGAAACAGAATGTAGCTGGGTGTACTAGTACAAGCCTATAAGCCTGGCTGCTTGGGAAGTTGAGGCAACAGGTTCTAAAGTCAAGGTCAGTGCCTGCCTGTACTGTGGCTATAGCTCAAGTGGGAGAGTACTATGAGTACTCCTTCCCTGTAAAGGAAGAAGAGAAAGAAGAAATAGAAAATAAATATATATGGCAGTAAGGGACTAAACTGCACATTCTAATACTTTAACCTTGCTGCATTGAAAAGTTCTAAGTAACTAGACAAATGTAATCAAGATAATAACTATGAAGTGTTAAAAGACAGTCTGAGCTCTAATTTTATTGTATTTGTTTTCTGTCGATATGGGAAAATGCTTTACTCTTCTGAAAGGTATTTTATCTGTAGCATCCTGTTTGAGCACATTACCAAGTCAAGAATCAAGCAATCAGTGACAATCCCAATAGGACCAATGAGCACAAGCTGTCACAGGATAGGAAAATGAGGTCTATTCAGAAATGCTTCCTTACCAACACAAAAACAATACTCTTGGCTCTGTGCCAACTAAATTTAGTCTTGGCCATGAGTACACCCAAGCTTTCCTGTGTTCTGTACTGAATGTGACCACTGCTAATTTGAAACCCACAGTGTTAATCTCTGCGGTCTGAAAGAACATTTTTTGATTGATGGTTGTATTTTTTTCCTTTGGACATGGTCTCACCATGTAGTTCAGGTGAGTTTTCAACTATGTAGCCCAGCTTGTCCCTGAACTCAAGATGATATTCCTGCCTCAGCCTCTGAGTGCTGGATA